CATGGATATTATCCTATCACAGACAGCATTGTACTTCATGACTGATCTGGACATGTTCTTTTTGACAATGAATGCTGAAGGAGGAAGTCCAATGTGCATTGAAGGAATTGGCAAAGAACAAGGCACCAGGAAATGATGGAATAAAAATTGAAATCTTTCAACAAAGTGAGGTGGCACACTCACCTCTGCCAAGAAATATGGAAGACAACTATCTAGCCGACTGATTGGAAAAGATCCATATTTGTGCCCATTCCAAAGAGAGGTGACCCAACGGAATGTGGAAATCATCGGACAATCTGTTTGATATCCCATGCAAGTACAGTTTTACTAGAAATGACTGCAAGCATACATTGACAGAGAACTTCAAGCCGGATTCAGAAGAGAGGCCGTGGAACGAGGGATATCATTGCTGATGTCCGATGGATCTTGGCTGAAAGCAGAGAATATCAGAAAGATGTGCTTTATTGACTACGCAAAGATTTTCAATTGTGTGGATCGTGACAAGCTATGGACAACATTGCAAAGTATTCTGGAACACTTAATTGTGCTCATGAGGAATCTGTACATGGACCAAGAGGCAGTTGTTCGAACAGATCATGGGAACACTGGATGGTTTAAAATGAAGAAAGGTGTGCAACAGGGTTGTATTCTTTCACCATACTTATTCAACCTGTATGCTGAGCAATTAATCTGAGAAGCTGGGTTCTATGAAGAAAACATGGCATTAGGATTGGAGGAAGACTCACTAACAACCTGCAATATACAGATGATACAACCTTGCTTGCAGAAAATGAAGAGGACTTAAAACACTTACTGATGAAGATCAAAGAGCACAGCCTTCAGTATGGATTACATGTCAATGTAAAGAAAACAAAAATCCTTACCACTGGAACAATAAACAACATTCTTATCAACGGAGAAAAGATTGAAGTTGTCAAGGACTTCATTCTTCTTGGATTAACTATCAACACTCATAAAAGCAGCAGTCAAGAAATCAGACGACATATTGCATTAGGCAAATCTGCTGCACAAG